ATTGATGTTTAGAATGAGTGATTTGAGAGAGAAAAGGGGGATTAAGAATTGCTGATGAAGAAAAGAACTAAGTAAAAGAATCTTCCATAGTGAATTGTAGAGAAACAAATATCATTTTTTTTCATTTTTTGAGAAGATAGGATGAGTTGAGAGAGTTTGTGAGGAGTTAAGTTTTTTTTAAAGAACCATGGAGATGACAAGAGAGAAGTTCCTCCTTTGATGATTTTTTTTGTGACTTCAATACGAGAATTTTTTTTTCCTTTTTTGGAATAGAGAAGTTAATTTGAAGATAAAAGAAGGAAAAGTTAATAGAGGTGAATAAAGTGGTGCCGCCGTCGCTGAAATTACCGGCGGCGGTGGAAGCAAATAACTCTTTTAGGTCTCCAAGAGCGGTGGCTCCGATACCATATCAGAATCTCACGCTACCAGATCAGAATCTCACGCTCTGATACCATGTTGAAATATTGGAATAATAATATTGCTCCCTGAATTATGAATTACATGATGGGGTATATATAGAAGAGATTCCTAACACAACTAGGAATAGAGAATGGAGACTAACTAAAACAGAGAGTATTTGAAGTCGGTCCAAACTCAATTGATATTATGTTAGAAGAGCTGAATTCATATAGAGTTATGTCAATTTGTAATTGACATGAAACCAACTCAGTCAAAAGATCAAGTTTATGTCTGTAGGCTTAGAAAAAGTTTATTACTCTAAAACATTTGTTACATGCATAAAAGATGTGTGCATGCTTGAGACTTTAACGTGAGCATTAAATTTTTAAATTGGGTGACACTAATGTAATATTTGAATTTGTGTCCTCTATGTCAGCAAAATTTTCATATCGTGTCACCGAACTAATTCAACCAAAAGTTCTAGTTTGCAAATGTAGCCCCCCATTAAAGGTTTTATATTCTAAGAGTTATATACATCGTAATATAATAACATGGTAAATATAATAACATAGCCAATTCACTATCATATAGAGTACTTGCTAAGCACGATACACACAAAAATTTTTTGGTTTTGAAACTTTCATGGAAATGAATAAAGCAGACTTGCTATTACAATATAACTAACTTGGGAGTAGAAACACACAGGACAACTAGTGCCGCTAGTTAACCACAAATCCACTAGATCTATCTCAGATAATGTATTGGCCATAGCCCGAAACTTCATTTTGGCAGACAAATGAAACACAACTTTTTGTTTCTTGGATGGCCAAGAGGTAGGAGACCCCCCCTCCCTCCCAACATGACCTTCGTGTGAGAGGACAACTAAACAGTTGAAATCTGAAAAAACTATAAGTGCAAGATTGTTGTCACTATGCAGAAGAATTCCCTAACATAGATGCCCCTTAAGATAATGCAAGACATGTAAGGCTATATTGAGACGATCTAGACGAAGAGCATGCATGAACTGAGACAAGACATATGCCAAAAAGGAAATAGCAACACGAGTAATAGTAAGATATACAGTAAGCACACCACAAGCTTGCAATACTTTGTAAGTTCTCTTATCTCAAGACTAGTGCAAGAAGAAGCACATACCATAGAATTATATTACTTTCCATACATATAAGCACCCATGAAATTCGATTGTGACTTGATCTACATAGCCTCCACCACATGACAACTGATTCACAAATTGCCAACAATGGACATCAAACGCTACCAAACTCTTTTAAGGAATTAGTTTGATGTGAACACCGCTTTCTTACATGGTGATATTGATTACATGATCTCTAAAGAGTGTAATCATAAACTTTTAGTGCCATTCAAGTGAAACTAGGTCCAATACACCCATTGACACCCCAAAGCTCGATAGTGTACGTGGTGGAAGATCTATAAGACCCCATGTGTGATTACGCACAAAGTATTAAGTTCATGTTGCATAGCTTTTTCTCAAGAAGCGAGCTAAATTGCATCCCATCCTCTTTGCCAGCTCATTAAGATTAAGTGCATCCACAAACCTCTGTACTTGTCATGTAAGTTCTCATAGTGATCAATATTAGTGATAGAAAATCGCATACATAAATATGAATATGAGTCGTGAGAAGATGCAAGTGAAGTTACACACTCAACAGAATGACATATATAATTATTAAAATTGAAGGGTGAGGATCTACCATCACTGTTGGATCGGTACACGGCAGAGGAGACGTTGTTACTGCGAGCGGCGGTATTGTCAGCTCGATAGTCCGTTGAGTCAATGACATAGGGGGTTGGAGGTTCCGTCGCCCTTAAGAGAAAGAGTGACAACGTGAGTCGGTTGGTCCGACACCACTAAGACTGGAAAAATCTACCAGAAAAGGTTGGCACAAGAGTGTAGTGTTGGGGTGGTACCACAAAGGGAAATTGAGACTTAATGAACGAGAAATCCCTAGTGTGAAATAAGCGTTGGCTTTCAAGATCATAAACCCGCCATCTTTTTGTGCCAAAAGGATATCCCATGCACATACATTTGACACTACGAGGGGGAAATTTATATAACTGTTTGGGAACATGATAAACATAACACAAGCAACCGAAAACTCAAAGGTGACTATAATCTAGGGGTTCGGAGGATCGGATTTCAAGAGGAGACTTACCTCATTGTAACTTTGTAAGAGTGCTAATAATAAGAAAAATAATAGTTTTAACACACTGCCCAGAATGCAATAGGAAGTGATGCTTGGAACATGAGAGTGAGAGACATTTAAGATGTGATAGTGTTTTCTCTCAACCCTCCCATTTCATTGAGGGGTACCGACACAAGAAGGTTTATTACACACACTTAACTCATGATAATATCGACCCAGAGGGTGATTAAGAGATTCAGTACCATAATAAGAATGTACCGTTTTAAGGACTTTTTCAAACTGTGTTTTGATCATAGCAAACAAAATATTCAAACAAGGTGTAATCTCACTTTTATCTTCAATGAGATACACCCAAACAGTCCTAGAATGATCATTCCTGAAGATCTACTTGATGATACAATTTATCCCTCCTGACCAACATTATAAGATACTCAAATAAACCAGATATCATATTAAGCCTCGCGTTAATGCCACTAACATATTATTCACATATTCACATGAATAATGCTCCCTATATTTTAGAATCATATTAGAGAAAAAATTGTGAGTAATAACATAAATAGTGTATCATACTCCCTCCATCCCAAAAAGTCCTTCACGTTTCAATAAAAATCGTGTCTCCAAAAGTCTTTCCCATTTATATTAAAAAACCACTTTTACTCTTTATTTTTTCATACCTTACCTATCACATCATACATTTTTTCTAATAATCTACACATCACATCAAGAATATTTTTATAAAATCAACACAAAATTATCTCTTCTTTATTTTACTAATTTAGTCAATATATCTCTATCTTTATGGGACGGAAGGAGTACGTCGGTAGTGATATGTACGTACACGGTACACGCGTAGAATGTTTTCTTTTCATTCAACATTGAAGAGGGTATAGTATAGTGTCCCAATCTATATATACTAAGCCGTGCAAAGTGTAATGCTAACAAAATTTGTTCTCACACGTGTCCTCTCGTGCCTCTCGTATATCAACACAAGAGTGTGGGAGCCTTAAAAGTCTCAACTCCCAATATACGGAGTGTATATATATGTACTCCCAACTCCGTTAATATAAGACACCAATACGTGATAACAAGAAGGGCTATATGAGGCGGGGGGTAAAATTGATGGGTTTTAAAAGTTTAAGAGACGACTATGGATCATCAATTTTACGAACGGAGTAACGTAAATACTTTAAAACCACCAGTATCACGATGTTACACTTGTTGAAGTGACGTAACATAACAAGTTTCCTATACATATGTGTGTGTCTTTATATATAACTTTTGTTTGTGTATGCATTTCATTGATCATTTAATAAAATAAAATAACATATTTTTTTATCATCATTTGTTTTATATAACTTTTGATATAATTTGTAAATATGTAAGTGGTATTGATTTTTAGGCAGTGTTTCTTTATCACTTTGTAAATAAAATTATTTGGAAAGATATGAGATTTTACACATTATTTTATTTTAAAGAGGTTAAATCATTTTAAAGAGAGGGAATCTAATCGTTAATTAAGTTATGCTACATGTACAACAATTGTGTACTTCCCTCATCAATTTTTTTTATCGGCACTAGGATTGCGTGGTTGAGATACACTTGGGTACGGATAAAGTACCAATTGTATTTGTATTATAATCAAAATTTCTCAATTTTGATTATAAGAAGTCAAGAGTAGACATGCATACTCTAAGAGGGAAAGAGTAATTACTACTTTTGTCCCACAAAATTTTTTTTCTTTATTTTTTCATCCGTTTCATTTTTTTTATTTCTACTTTATTCACCCCACAAAATCTTTCTCTTTTTTCATTCATCCCAAAAAACTCTTCATTTAATTTCTATTAAAAAGTCACTTTTACCCCTACTAATTCTTAATATACCTATGACCTCTCACTTTTTCACTACTAATCTACCCATCAATATACTTTTATCTATCACATCCAAGGGCATCTTTGAAAAGTCAACAACAAAATATACCTCTCTTAAATCCTTTAAAATTCAAAACAAGAAATATTTTGTAGAACGGAGGTAGTATTAAAAAACTAGTTTTACCCATACTAATTTTTAACATACCTTTCACATCATACTTTTATCCATTTCATTCAAGAGTATTTTTGGAAAGTCAACACCAAAATACATTCCCTTGAATTCTTTAATAGTCAAAAGAGAAAAGTTTTCTGGGAGGGAGGTAAATAATTACGGAGTAGAAGTTAAGAAGAGGCCATTTGTCCGTCCAAAAGGTGGAATCGCCCACCCAGGCGCCCCCACCCCCTGGCCCGACAAGGATGGTGGAGGAAATAAATCGTGGTAACTCAGTCGACCAAGAACATTAGACCCATGCCTACTCACTCTTTATGGAATTTTTGGATAGCTCTCGTACTGTCGCTTGTGGGACTCGATCCCTAGTCATCGGTCTAAGATTCCAAGAAGATGCCATTTGGTTGTAACAATTAGTGGGTGACGACATAGCCTTCAGCAAACGCCGGAGAGGGGTGGGGCGGAAGGCGCTGCTGTGTGGGGCACCCCTCCCCCCTTATGCACACACTCACTCCCTCTCTCTCTTCATACATTTATACCCCTCCTGCAGGCTTTCTTCTTCTTCTCCCAAAAAACATAAACTCTCTTCTCTCTCTCTAGAAAAAAAAAAAGAAGAAGAGGAAAGGAAAATGAGAATGAGCTGCAACGGGTGCCGAGTCCTCCGGAAGGGTTGCAGTGAGAGCTGTACCCTAAGGCCATGCCTCCAGTGGATCAAGACCCCCGAGTCCCAGGCCCACGCCACCGTCTTCCTCGCCAAGTTCTACGGCCGCGCCGGCCTCATCAACCTCATCAATGCCGGCCCCGATCACCTCCGCCCCGGTATCCATCTCTATATATCTATACTCCCTCCGTCCCAAAAAAAACGCGCTTGTAAAATGAGTAATTTTAGGGTTATTTTTTAATTATGACTCATCTATCCTACATATCTTATTCTGCTCGATTATAAAGTAAGAGAAAAATAAGAAAATAACACCAAAATTACTCATTTTAACCGTGTATCTTTTTTAAAAAAGGAAGAGTATATATATATCCTCACTCTAGCTCTTTTTCACAATTTATTTTGATGTTTTTCCTAATTAATTACACCCGATCCGGAAAAAAACATTAATTTCTTAAACTCTCATGCAACCTAACATAGACGTCACTCTTAAATTTTTTTTGGTATGAATTTTTCATTTTTTTCATATTTTTTGGGTTCCATTATTTCCTATATTCTCTCCTTTCCACTATTTTGGAACAATTTTTTTTTAAAAAAAAATTCATCAATAATTAGATAAATATGATTTTAAATTATTTCATTCGAATGAGACAAAAAATAGTGAAACGAAAAGAATCATTTTAAACACTCAAGTACTATTAATACCGAGTAAAATTTATTTAGAAAATATTCCTTCTATTCATAGAGTACTTGTACATTTTTAACTTTTTATAGAATTGACATTTAACTTAAAGTTAAATAAGAATTATATGGTGGTAGTATATTAATTAGATTAAAATGTTTTGTGCAGCGATTTTTAGGTCATTGTTGTACGAGGCTTGCGGGCGGGTCATCAACCCGATATACGGGTCGGTCGGGTTAATGTGGGGCGGCAATTGGGATCGGTGCCAAGAAGCGGTGGAAGCGGTTCTTAACGGTACGGAGATCAGGCAACTCACCGCGGAAGACGGCGGCGCCGCCGAGTCACACGCCGTCACGCCCTTCAAGGTCTGCGACATACGTCACATCTCCAAGGAGCCGCCCGCCGCGGTCCACCGGGCGAGGTCCAGGAACCGGTTCAAGCGGACCGGACCGGTTCAGGGCAGATCGGTCGACGCGATGGCGACGGAGGAGCCGACGAGGTTCAGCCTCTCCGGGTGGGGGTTCGACGGGTCGGAGGGAAGCGTCGGGTTGGAGCGGGCCCCGAGTAACGGGTCGACCACGCTGGAAACGGTCGAGCAGTACTATGCGAACCGGGACGAACCGGGTGGCGGTTCGGGGAACGAGGCCGGAAACGAGCTGCTCCTGGACCTCACTCTGGGGGTTTGATTCAGTGGAGCGCATCCCCACCGCTCCACGGTGGACGAGCATAAAAGTAGGTGACGTGTGAGGAAGGAAGAAAAAGAAAGAGTCCGTTACGTCGAGGCATCGGTTTTTGGGAATTTTTTTTTCCTTTTTTTCTTTCTTTTTGTTTTTGTTTTATTTTTTAAAAAAATAATAAAATCTAAATACAAGTCATTTCATTATACTTAAATGTATGGTAAGAGAAACAATTCAAGTATTATTGTCAATTCATGTGTTCTCAATGATTGTCAATCCATCGTGTAAGTAGCTAGTAGATGTGGTTATTTTTTTTAGGATCTCTCACACACAAATTTGGATGAAGATTAACAATGAAGAACACAATCAAGTACACTCTAATTAGAACTTTCTTACTTATGCATTTAGGTGATTATTTTATTAAGTTATTTCTTAACACTTAAATTCTTTCAACTTTTTCCGATTTTTTCCAACATCCAACTCTGAAATTCTAACAAAAAAGAAAGAATCGAAATACAAAATCAGAATTTAAAGTCATTAATTTAGAGGATGTTTGGAAATGTAGTGCTTTTAAGAATTTAATTTTTTGTTTGAGTGGTAATCATTTTACTTTAAGTTTTTTTTCTCATTATTTTTTGATGAAACAAAATATTATTGTTCATCTTATTTTGTAAAGTTATTAAGATAAATTTAAATTGTATAGGTAGAAATGCTATAGATAAGAGAAAAAAATAACTTTGAGCCACATAATATTTTTATAAATGGAATATGAATTTTTTTTGAAACAAATGAAAAAGAAAATATGAAACAAAACCTGTTCCTCGAAGAGAGTATTATTATTAATTAGTACTCCCTCCGTCCCTAAATATATCTCACATTTACTTTTTCAGCAGTCGCGGGAATTTTTTTTATTTTTATGTTTTCATTGATTATTTGATAAAATAAAATATTATTGACCCCTCTTATTTCGAAAATTTTTTTATGTAGTTTTTTTATATGTAAATTTTATTTTTTATTTCTATACCAATATGTAAATAAAATGAATTAAAAAAACTTGATATTTTACTTCAGTAGTAGAAATGTGAGATATATATATTTAGGAACGGAGGGAATACTACTCCCTCATCCATATCTTCAATCTAATTTCACGCCAGTAACTCGTAGCTCAATGGTTGACATAAAAATGCTACAACGTAAGGAGGAGATTCCGAGTCTAAAGTGTGGTGATTGCGATAAAAGCAACCATGCTAAGCATGATGAAATCTTAATTAGTACGTATGAGACACGAAATCACACTCTTATGTCAATTGATTGAGATTATAATTTAGTTTACTTCTTCAAGGCCGCCGATAAACTACTTTAACTATTATTATTTCTATTTAATATCCAAATATATATGCAATATTATAAGAATATGTTAGGAGTATTTCAAAATTATGTTTCGGAAGAAATTTATGAATATTAAATTTATATCATAATTTAATGTATTTTTTATAATTTATAGTTAATATTTAAAAATGATTAAGAAAAAATAATATGGAAAAAGAGCTACGTAACGGAAAGTGTATTAATATGCCTAACAAGAACCATGGAGTAATTCTCAATTATACATCTATGAAATAACTACTCCGTACATTGGATCCAAAAGTGTGGGTTTTTAATTTCTCTGTTATTTTTAAATTTTGCCCCACTCAAATTGGGAAAAAATGTTTTTTTTTAAAAAAAAATTTGACCTACGTACTCCTTCCCAATCTGTTGGTAATTTGTATAAGTTGACCTTTTAGTGTCAAATCATCAATTAATATAAATAAATATTAGGGTCAACGGATGACACTTCCTCACTTTCCTAAACCTCTCCCTAAACTCCCCACCTAGCCCCAATCCAGCCTGACCCTTGCACCCCCACCCTAGACGACGTACTCTCTTTTACTCACTCCAAATGTGTGTCAAAATCTTCATGTTTGGTTCACAATCTAAATAGTCACAATTCTCACAAATTTACTACTCCCTCCGTTCCACAAAACCCTTCCGGTTTTGACTTTGGAGAAAAATAAGGAAAGTGTAATTTTGGTTGACTTTCCAATTTTGCCCCTGATGTGATGGGAAAAAGTAAGATGTGATAGTTTGGTTATTACTTATTAGAGAAAAAGTATGATGTGATAGGTAGGGTATGAAAAAGTAGGGGTAAAAGTGGTTTTTTAATAGAAAGTGAAAGTGTTTTGTGGAAAGCAAAAAAAACGAAAGAGGAAGGATTTTGTGGAACGGAGGGAGTATTTGTAAATTTCAATAAAACAACAATAAAGTAGTCTAATATTCTCTCCGTCCCGGAAAACATGGGAGTTTTGATATTGAAGAGGGATTTAAGAAAAATGTATTTTGGTATTGAATTTCCAAAAATGTCCTTTGATGTGATGGGTAAAAGTATGATTTGATAGATAAATTATTAGTAAAAAGGTATGATGTGATAGATATGATATGAAAAAGTAAGGGGTAAAGTAATTTTTTAATAGAAATGAGAAGTGTTTTTTGGGACAGATGAAAAAAGAAATAAGAAAGGTTTTCAGAGAAGGAAGGAGTATAATTTTAAAATAAGATTTTAAACCATGTAACCATTTTATTTGTGAGATAGCATTGCTCTATTGTATAATAATAACTCTAACTATAATAGGTAGCAACCATAATTATAATATATATAATGCTCCCCTCCACAAAATTTTACATAATTGATATTTATATATTAAATATTTGATATATTTAACAATTACATCAAATTTATATTACTCCATTCTCCACAAAAAATTTTTTGTTGCGCTTGATGATGATTGACTGATATTATTTTATATTCATTTTATATATAAAATAGTGTGAAAATAAAATACAAAAATAACACGGAGTATGAGATATTTAAAAACCGCATTAAAAGACCAAAGAAATAAAGTTTCATGGATATATTATTGTATTCCATATCAAATAAGAGACAAAAATAGGCAAAAAAAAATTAAAAAAAATGCTTCACCATGTAAATAATAAAGAATTTTTTTTTTATGGACCACGAGACTAATGAATAAAACAATTTATTTTTATAAAACAGTTTGCAAAATAAATCTAATTAAATCATTTTTGTATTAATATGCAATATAATTTTTTAAAATGGTGATCAATGTATGTCTAATTTTAGAGCCATGAATGAGAGATTGAAAAAAGGCCGGGCCGGGCCGGGTGATCCAATGGGATTGGTGGGTGAGGATGTGGATCTGACTGGATAGCTGTTTGGGTGATCAATTGATGACCGAAATATGAATGAGAGAAGGGCACGTGGGAAGGCATGCAGAAGACTTCATCCGACACCTGCTCTCCATGCAACGGTTCTTTCCGCCAAGTTTCACCTTTCCTATTTTACCGGTTCTTTTTTTCAAAAAAAAAAAGAAAAATAGGAATTTCCATATATGATTGTGGGAAGAACATTTTGAAACAGATCGAGTAATGTTTTTATCTTTCACTTCGATGTTTTCTTTATATGAAAAACCTACCGTTGAACTTAGACTTTATTCTCTTCAGTTTATTCTTGTTATATCAGAATATTTCTTATTAATTTTAATTGAAATCAAGCCAAATTATTAGACCATCTAAAAAAATTATTTTAAATATAACCATAATCAAAACATAAATCAAATCAGATTCAATCGGATCATTATTAAACGAAGAGAATAAGCATCTAAAACTATCCTACTAAACATAGATTAGAATTCTGAAATCTAAACTTTTGCAAAAATGTGAAGCAATTTGGTACTAATTTACTTCACTCATTTTTTAAGCATGTTTTATAATTAGATGTTATGTAAATGCAACTTATATTAACTAAAATCCACATCCACTCATCAATTAGTATTTTATAATTAAACTTTTTGTTCAATTTAGCTTAATAGTTTTCAATATTTTTCTTCAACGTCTTGAAATCAGATTGTTAATTTCATTTTGAAACGGAAGCCAGGGATATTTAATAAAAATAAAAGTTCTTTCGTAATCTTAAGGTTGATCTACATGTGAAAAGTGGTCTATATCACATTTTTTATGGATCGGCAAGTGACAATTTTTTTTGTAAAACGTACAACTCTTTAATGATATTAATACACAAAAGTTCATATATAAAATGAACATGGACCGTGAAACCACGTAAAAAAGGCTCTCTTGTTTTAAAAATAACTCGAATTTTTAAAATAGTAACAGTGGTCGTTATATATCTATCTGTATGATTTTACTTTACAAAATAAACTTTGTTTTGTACTCCGTAGTTTTTAGGGCAATGTTCTTTTGACCCGAGCAAACAATGACCTCGACATTTGGAGCACCTTCGGTGCTCCATTTGTAACTATTTCTAATTAATTTAAAAAAAATAAAATCGAAGAAATTTAAAAAAAGTTAGACATAATAAAACTTGAACTAATTTTTCAAAATAAACTTATGCTTTAATGAATAAAATATTAAAAAAATAATTACATTTTTATATATGTTCAATTCAAAAAATTTTGGTTTGGAAAATTATCTTAATTGTTCCCAAATATAAAACCGATCATTCAATTCGGTACAATTTAATAACTTTTGGTATTTTTTGGTTTAGTATTTTCCAATTTGGTTCGGGATTAATTCGGTACTTGCGCACCCATAAAAGCTATGCAAAGTCAAAATAGATATTACGATCTGGGCCAGCCCAAGGAAAATGCCCTTACGTTATAAGCTTAAAATCCAATATTCAGCATGGGCCTGCAATAAGGATATACTCCACAAATTCTCGACACTTCTTGGTCTGGCCTGGTCTCCAGAATTGCAATATATAAATAGAAAATACAACCTCAAATCTAAAATGAAATTTAAGCCATTTTATTTTTGATAAGTGCAAATAAATTTTAAATATTTTCTTTAACCAATAATCATACGTTTTAACTCATAATCTATCCATCACATCAAAGGTATTTTTGGAAATTCAACACCAAAATATTTCTCCTTCAGTTTTCCAAAAAGTCAATAAGGAAAACTCTTTCGGGGACGAAGACAGTATATTATTTGCAATTAAAACTAAATTTATCTCTTCTCAGATGACATCA